AACTAACCAGACTCTGGAGGAAAACAAGCACTATGAAAGACAATAAAGAGAACAATCTGTTAGAAGCAGCAAACTAATGGGACAGAAGAATTGAAATTAAACATAGCAAGTCTCCTCAGAATGATAAGGATGATACTGGAGAGTTGTTTTGAAGAAGAACCAATTGAGAAAATTTAGTATGAAAAATATAATTGTTCAAAATAAAAATTGAGTGAGTTTAATAGCAGAAATAGATACAGCTAAAGAAAAGATTAATGATGGCCAGCCACCAAAAAGAGATTAATGAGGGCTGACAGGTTAGCTCAAGAGAGTAGTGCTGGGCCAGCCCGGTGGCGCACTGGAGAGTGCGCCGCTTGAGAGTGCGGTGGCGCTCCCGCCGAGGGTTTGGATCCCATGTGGAGACCAGTTCCCACTCACTGGCTGAGCGTGGTGCGGGTGCAGGCGCAACACCGAGGGTTGCGATCCCGTTACCGGTCAGTAAAAAAGACAAAAAGGAAAAAAAAAAAAAAAGAGAGAGAGAGTAGTGCTGATAACACCAAGGTCAAGGGTAACAGCCCGTACAGGCCAAATGCCAAAAAGCAAATAAACAAACAAACAAAATGAAAAGAAAAAATATTAATGATCAAAAACTAGGTTAAGAAACTCAGCATGGGGCCGAGCCATGGCGCACTCGGGAGAGTGCGGCACTGGGAGCACAGTAGCGCTCCCGCCACGGGTTCGGATCCTATATAGGGATGACTGTTGCGCTCATAGCGCTCACTGGCTGAGCATGGTGCGGCCTGTCTCAAAAAAGGACCAAAAAAAAAAAAAAAAAAAAACAAACCTCAGCATGCATCAGGAAATGATAAGAAATGAAATGAAAAGAGAAAAGTTAAGAAATAAAGCAGCTACATGTACACATTACAGGATATTCCACCAGAAGTCCTGGGATATCAAAGACAGATAAGAAATTCTAGAAGTTTCCAGAAAGACAAGAGAATCAAGATCAGGTGACATCAGATTTCTCAACAGCAACACTGAAAGCACAACAATTGAGTAACAGCTTCGAAGTGCTGAAAGAAAATCATTTTTAACCTAGAATTTCATATACTGGTAAAATTATCAGTTAAACATGAAAGTAAAACAAAGATAACCATATTTTCAGAAAGTTTTCCCCACAAAACTAACACCAAGGTCACGGGTTTGAATCCCCGCACAGGCCAGCTGCCAAAAAAAAAGAGAAATTTCTCCCCACAAAAACCCTCTGTGACAAAACTCTTGAAAGATGTAGTCCAGCAAGAAGAGAAATTAATCAAGGAGAAAGCAATGCCATAGGAGCAAAGGATAGTAAATAAATGCTTACTTTGTCTAAATAAGCAAGAACTTAAACAAGAAATATCTGTAAAAATTCTGAACTGAAATTCCAGTCAAATCTAAGGACCATCTAAGGACCAGGGAGGAATGGAAGTGGAGTGGGGTGGAGACCAGAGATGGTTAGATTGTGTTGTGGGTGTTTTCACATTCAGAGGGAAAACAAGGATTTAGATAAGCCTTATACATCAATAGGGAAAAATAAAGAGTACAAGTCTTATTAGGTTAGAAATAGCCAATAGAAAATAAAAATAAGATGAAAAAGTAGTGTGTAGAACTATCAAATCAGCAGAAGTAAATCTGTCTAGATTGAAGTAAAGAGAGAGGGGGGAAAAAGTATATTATGGCAAAAATCCTTGCCCATAGAATTTTTTGGTGGTCACATTTTCCCAGCCTTCCAGGCTGATGGATACATCACAGGCTATTCTGAACATGCATAGTAAGTGTACATGTCATGAGGCAATGTCTTGGAAACACCTTGAATTCACGAAAACACTATTTGCCCATCCATCCACTCTTCCTCCTGCTGCCTGGAACCTATAACATATGTGATGGCTGGAGATTGGCCTTGGAATATAAGGTCAAAAATGAAGCAGAGGAATAGAAAGTTGTTGTTTAATTAGCATAGAGTTTTAGTTGTGCAGGTCCCCTTACTGGCCAGCTGCCAAAAAAAAAAAAGAGTTTTAGTTTTGCAAAATGAAAATCAAGAGTTCTGGAAATTGGTTGCACAACAATGTAAAAGTACTTCACATAACTGAACTGTACACTTAATAAATGGTTAGGGGGACTGGCCGGTTAGCTTACTTGGGAAAGCGCGGTGCTGAAAGCACCAAGTCAATGGTTAAGATTCCCTTACCAGTCATCTTTAAAAATAATAATAAATTAATTAAAAATAAATAAAATAAAATGAATACAGCCATTATTCTCTAAAAATTTGAGAAGAATAAAAAAGGATCAGAAAGCTGGAAGAAACATGGATTCCTAGGAACTCTTTTGGAGACAAACCACCACATCAGCCTAGGATTTCCTCTAAGATAAAGAACAGAATTACAAGACACGCCAGTCAAATATGAATCAAAAGGAAGACAGGTTACAAATTGTAATATCAGACAAAATAGAATTTGAGGTGAAGAAAGGCTGGACATAAAGGGCAAAGAGGGACATTATATACTGGTAAAAGGAATAACAGGTCAAGATGATATAACAATCATGACATAAACATACATGCATCAAAAATGTAGCTTTAAACTACACAAAGTGA